CAAAAGTGCAAAATTACAAACTACAAGACCCCAACGGGGTAATAAGAAAAGACCCCAACAGGGTAATAACTAAGACAAGACCCCAACAAGGTAATGAGACAGGGGTCAACGGCCCAAACCAAAAACACACCTACTAAACAAACATAAATAGAAAACTGAGAGGACACGCACATAGCGGCCTAGAGAACTCCACAAACGAAAATAAAAGAAAATGAAAAACAGAGCCACTGCACAATGCCTAGCCTGTATTCATCCCCGAAACAAAGACTAACAAACACACTGAACAAAAACAACATAAACAGGAGCCCTTCCCACAACAGAAAACTACGTCGAGCACAACAACGGCAAAGACTCGGTCTAGGGTCTCAACCCAGAAACTGCCAGATAACGCCTAACTAAGTCGAGAACCTACGAACCTTATCTTTGTCCAAACGAACAACACTACTAGCGCCCCAGAAACATAGACTCATGACCAACCAGGCCAGGCGAGCTCCGTCCATCCTAGCCCAACCCGAACCCAGCTTTGAGCAGCCCGACTCAGCACATCAAACACACGACCCAGCCAAACGATCTCAGACGATCACTACCCCAAAACTCCACAATCTCCCTTCCGGCGACTGCAAGGCCATAGAACAGCAATCCCCTAACCAATCGATGACTACTCAGGCACCAATGCTCTGTACCAAGACAAGGCCAATCAAATAGGCCAAGACCCAATCTCCACCCCAAACCCTAATCGGAAAATTAGGGTCACAGCTCGCTCCAAGAGAGCGCCGGAGGCCGCCGCTGCGGAGATACCGGAGGAGAACAACACCCGCCACGCGCAACCTGTACCAGAGGCTAAGCATCGGAGGACGGCATCTCCCCGGCGAAAAAGCTCCCTCTAGCAGCACTACTCTTGGTGATGAACTGCGGGGCCTAGAAGGCCACCGCCGAGCGCTCGATGTGCCCTGTCGGGGAAGGCAATTACAATCAATAATTTAATCTCTGTTGTTTGATGATTGTTATTTATGATAATAATGGTGATAATGAATATAATTCATCCACTACTAATATTATATTTAAGAAAATATTTCAAAATATAATAAATAATATTTTCATCTTCGTCATTTTTAACATCAAGCAGCGCAACACGCGGGTGACGTCCTAGTTATTTATAAGTATTTTAAAGCATTGATCCTTGAAACTATGTAAACATATGACTGTGCTTAATGTTGCTGCTTTAGTTTTACATATTCCTTGAGATCCAAAAGTGCACCAGTTACATACACTGACAACAAAAATATTGAAAACAAATAAAAAAAAAAACAATTTAAAAGAAAACGAAACATGACAATAAATAACGTGACAAGAAGCATAGGATTCTATTCACCAACACAACAAAATGACAATAAAAACACGTTACACACCCTTAATTAGTCCAAATTAAAGTAAAATAAAGTGCATAAAACACTAACATAAAAGCAACAACACAAAGAGTTTTCCACTAGCAAACATCTAAATTAAAAACAACCACCAAATTTTAACTTA